TAATATCAGTTCTATATGAAGATCCTGATTCCAATATTATCAGAGCAGGGGTGCCAAATCAATTTCTGAGGGGACCAAACTCAAAAGACACTTAAGGTTGCCTGTTGAATGGGTTAAATTATACTCATTAAGCAGTTGAAACGGAGCCTTTTTAAAACAATAATATATACTGAAAGAGACAAAAGTTATTGTAAATAAATAAAAATCAAATTGTTCCTTTTTTCTGCCCTAAGGCAATTTGTCTGAGCTGGATAATTGGCATTAAATGTTTGAAGTTTTGTGTAATTACAAATCTCAGGGTGGACTGTCTAAAATTCTCTGCGGGATGGATACGGGTTGCAGGGTTTGAGTTTGGAACCTGAGGTGCATTGAGTCTGTAATGGCTCGTTCGACAATTCTTAACGATGACCAATACATCCGCGAAGGAAAATATTTCTCCAGCGAGATAGAAGAATTAGTTAGAAGAAGTAAAGGTAATGGTGACAAATGGCCTCCTCTATGGCCGATGAGATACTGGTAGAAAAAGGTTTGCCACAGTTTGAACTATTACCGGACGAAAAGTATACAACGTCCCGGCAGAAAGATAGAGTTACTAGACTTGATTAAATTTCTCCTTCCACGACAATCCCTTAGAGGTGAATAGGAAGTAGAGTGTGACTGAAAGCAGAAGGGGAAGCAGTCTTCTTCATTACTCCGGATAGTTCTTTCTCTCTGCAGCAAACTCCCTAAAAAGAACCATGAAAATAAAAGGCACCGAACGGCAAAAGCTCAAAACGCCGGCAGATGAAGAAGATGAGGAAATTGAAGAGCCTACCGATTTGGAAGAAAAGAGTCCACCTGCAGTGGGGATTTTTCAGTTGGTACGAAATCTATCTATCTATCTATCTATCTATCTATCTATCTATCTATCTATCTATCTATCACACAACCACATGCATTTCAAGGTTTTGCAATATGCATGACGGAGTGTAGATCGTGTGTGTGTGTGTGTGAGGGGGGGGGTATAATTTGTGGGCGTATTTGTGTTTGTGCGTTGGTGCGTTTGTGCGTTGGTGGGTTTGTGTGTAAGTGCGTGTGCATGTAGGTTAAGGAAAGAGGTTACATCTCAAGTGTGTTATCTGTTCCAGTTCTTTTTGACCAGCAATAATAAAATTAATGTAATTTAAACATTCAGTGAGCATGTATCTAGGCCCGGAAGCTTTATATTAAGAAATATCAAATAGAAAAACTTCCTCTTTCACTCTCAATGTCAATAAACAATTGATAGCAAAACTGACGAAGTGAGTCAAATTAGAGCAACTGAAGAAGCAGCAGGAACAAGCAGTGCACTTTTATTATATAATCTAAAGTTTACTTTCTTCTGTTTTGTTTTTCCCAAAACCAATATTCTCTTAATTGTGGTGATTGGTGACTGATAAGTACTCTGTTACACACACTCAGCTCATAAATTTGTTTTTAGTAGAGGCTCGCAAATGCATAAGGTCATGTAAGCGCCAAGGGGTCGATGTCAACAGAGAAGTCCTTACAGGGAATCAGACTTACTCAGCTCACCTCTCTAGCTTCAACAGCACAAAGTCTGCTTCGACTATCAAGGCACCTCGGAAGTAATGGGTCACAAGAGTGTGACAAAATACAAAAGAAGTAGAGGAAAAATGATGATAGTAAAGATTAGGAAAGAAAAAGCGGCAGCAAGTCAGGCACAGTTATGAGCGTGACACTGATGAATCAGCCCATTTACAATTAAAATTCTTCTGTGAATAAGAACTCGAGATGGCAATGTCTCCCCCCACCCAATTTGGGTATTTCCAAAAGACACTTCAGTCAGTTAACTCATAATCGTATAGATTAAAAACAATACTTCCTCTATAAGTATGGCAAGACTTAGTAACTTTGTACAGAATCACAATAAAGCTTCATATTAAATGACAACACGACTTCTCGCTGTGGTTTGACGTACTGAGTTTAATACACATTAGCTAAATAGGATAGGATGCAGTCAGATGTTCAAATAGATTTAGCATGACTTAGACATCAGTGTACATTTGAAAAGGAACAAGTCAGTTTGACATTGCTTTATGCTACTTCCCTCACAATGATTTCTTTCTTCTTTGGTAACTGTTTTACGGCGCTTGCAACTGCATAAGGTCATATGAGCGCGAGGCACACATTGAACATTTTCAGTTAGTAGGACAGTTTGAATTTTGCCCAAGTGGCGGCCGAAGCCTACTCTTGTCGATTGTGGATCACCAAGGGATATTTAACGTGGGTAATGGCACTTACATGACTAAAACTGAGTCGATAGTGCCATTTTTCGCCCTTGTCCGGAAAGGCCAGGTGAAGATCTTTTCTACCCAAAGATAAGGGGTGTGGCTGAAAGAAAACAGTAAGAACGAGCCA